GCAGGTTCTGGGCAGCTCTGTGTGGCAGCGCCAGGCGCGTCGCTCGTCGACTCACGCACCCTGCTGGTGGTGTAACGAGCAGCTGGGATCTGCTCGGGAAAGTCTCTGGGCACCACGCCTAACTCCTTGCAGTGCTCCCACGACAACAAGGGTGTAGCGAGAGTAGGCTGCACGTCGATCCATCCGTGACACGACCTGTCGCCGTAGGTGATCTCTGCTTGAAAGGAGCCCACAGCGTCCGGCATCTGGGAACCGTCCACATTGTAGTACAACAGCTAAGGCGGTGGTCCCAGGCTGCGTTTGGTGAGGCCCAGTTTCTGGAGGTGCTTCAACCCAATCACCGTAGTATCGGCGCCGGTGTCCGGTATCACCTCGATGTGACCCGACACATCACCGTGTGTGACGGCGACGCGGATAGTAGGGGAAGGGGTAGCCCTGGGGCGTGTGGTCGATTCCACCCTCCTGATGTGACTCCGCTGCTGCTTGGAGCTGCGTGGGCCATCTGGAGGGGGCTGTGTGCGAACCACCCCGAGGGAAGTGCGCTGCTTTCCTCCTCGTCTCGGGCTTTTGGGCTTGGATTGGCGGCAGCACTTGTCGTAGTGTCCATAGCGACCGCAGGCCTGACACTTGTGGCCTCGTGCAGGGCACCTGTCTGTGTTAGACCAGTGGCCCCTACGGTCACATCCACGACACAGTGCGTCGGCGGCCGGGCAAGTCTTGGGGCTGTGCTGCTTTCCACAGCTGCCACAGGAAGCACTAGGCGGAGGCGTGGAAGAACGTGTGGCAGCCTTCGCGTTGTTGGCCGCCTTCTTATCCTTCTTGTATTGTGAGATAGCTCTCACAGCAGGTGGGGCCCGTAAGGCAGAGGTGGCGAACTTGGTGGCCTCGTATGACCGACATTCAGTCACTACCACCTGGAGTGTGGAGGAAGCGTCCAGGGGGATGAGTCGCTGCATCAACTCTTCGTGCCTGACACCTGTCAAGATCCCGTGCTTGATCCAGGCTTCCTCACATTCCCGGCTGTGCGCCTTGCAGACGTCGATCTCCTCTGACAAACTCTTCAAACGTACAAAAAAGTCGTCAAAGGATTCGTTCTCCGCCTGCTTGCAGCTGGTAAAGGCACGGCGACCCAAAGCCTCGTTGTTCCGACCCTTAACGTGCTCCTGTAAAAGGTGGAGCACATCCGTCACTGAAGAGGTAGAATCGGGAGGCACTCGCAACGTGTGCTCCAAAATTCTCTGGGTCTCCAGCGACAAACACATCTGCAGTTGAATGAGCTGTTTGTTTGGAGGCATGCTGTCAAGGTCCACCATCGTGGAGTAATCTGTCCAACGCCGCCTCCACTCACGAAAAAGCTGAAACGTGACGTCTGGTGAGAGGACGGGTGGGGGTTGAACAGATGCCTTGGGAGCTGTTGGGGTAGCAAGAGTACCTGGAGGACGCTGGTGTGGTGGAGGAGGGAGTGTACTGGCGCCTTGGTGCGCGCTACCTGCAAGTGAGGGAGGGTGGGTTAGCGCCAGGGTCGCCAATAGCGCCTCAAAACGCAACTTTTCTTCCTCTCTTCGTGTCTCCTCCCTCTGAAGTTCCATTTCTCTACGTCGCTCGTCCCGGTCGTCCATCCATTTCAGAATTGTGGCGATGTCCGTCACTGGAGGTGGAGGATGAGAGTCTGCGCCCGGTGGAGGAGAAGGTGGTGGGGAGTCGTGTCTCCCATCTTGACGTCCCTTCTTACCTCCCATCTTTGTGTGTGCGTGGACTGCACTGTTTAATATAAAAAGTGGCGCCTCAACAGCTCTAACCACATATATATGACATAAACAGCGCGAAAATCACGCATATGGTCCGCTGTTCTGTCCGTGAGTGAGTGAGTGCGTGCGTGCGTGTGTGTGTCTGAGAGAGCGGAGGGAGCGTGGACAGCTGCGTGGTCGGGCAAGACCGTCAGTGTCCCCCGGATGTCGCACGAGAAGGGTGTATGCCTGCGTGCTCCGTGGGTACCACAAAAAAAGACAGGCCAATGCTCAACTCTCAGCTCTAGACACACACTAATACACTGACACTAACACTGGCACCGTCACTAAAACGCACTGTGACGGAGCAACACTGCACATCGCTGCGAAACACAGCGCAACACAACACAACACACTGAGTCGACGCGCATCACCGGCAGACGTAACTGTCGGCATTGTTCACACACTTCGTAAGTCCACAGATCCTAGACACTGCGCCATGAAAGGTACTAGTGTGCCCTGAAGAATGCAGTGATGGCTAGGGAAACACTGAGTAACACTGAGTCCGTTTATTGTGGATGAGAGAAATACAAGTGGTGACGCTGTGTGCCATGCGCGGCTCACACAGTCAGACTGAGGCGCCTTGCCATATGGCAGCCTCGGGGCAATGTTGCCACATAACACGTGCAGTGTTGCCACGTGATAATATATATAAATGCTACTCGGCACAGTAGCTTATGTACAGGGTTGCTACTTGGCACAGTAGCTTATATACATAACCTACAGTATAGAAAACGCGATCCATCTAGCTGCTATCTGTTGTGGGATGGGAGTAGGCATGTGGGTGACGTCAATCTTCCCTCCTACTGCAGGCTATGCGCTGATACGATGTCGCCTCCACTGAATGTCAAATCTTCTGCAATCCCGTATATATGGGGGACTGTCTGATGACACCAGAAATACTGCAATCGACGATTGCGAAACCACAACAGCTGTACAGATGGAATGAGAAGCACTCACTTACTATCGTCTCAATACGGGATATTCTTAACACTCGGATATTGTTTGTAACGCGTCACTGTAGGGTGTTTGATTTTCTTGTTTTTACAAACACTGACGCTTTGGTACGTAGACTGATATGTCATTTTCGTACTCACACGAGCTGCAATTACTGATGTGTAAATCACTGTATCTTCCGCTATCTTTGAGCGTGAAGAGAGAGAGATGTAAGTTTGAGTAGTGTACCCATCGAGGGAGAACGGTATGGGTACGTCCTTCCCCCTCGAGGGAAGACGGAGCCAACCACTGCGGCTCTTAAATAACGTCTTCCTCTAGTCAAGGATATCAAACTACTGCTCACTTTAGGTGGCCAGGAGCCGGCTACTTATGCCTTTACTCAGCATAGTATGACACAGCTTCCTGTGGGCACACCTTATCACGTGCATTGAACATGTCACCTCATAGCCAGTGGAAAGTTACAGAGGATGAATCTGAATATAAATCAGATGTAAATAACCCATTTATATAATACTTCTGTTGATGAGACAGGGGCCATTACATCTATATATATGTGTATATATATATATATATATATATATATATATATATATATATATATATATATATATATATATATATATATATATATATATATATATATATATATATATATATATATATATATATATATATATATATATATATATATATATATATATATATATATATATATATATATATATATATATATATATATATTTATATATATATATATATATATATATATATATATATATATATATATATATATATATATACTCGTATATAGCAGTGTGTGTGTGTGTGTGTGTAATAATAATGATAATTAACGGCTTACTCAAAAATGTACAGCAACCAAAAAACTCCTCACGGCCTCTCCTCCTCCCATCCTCTCCTCCTTCCGTCCTCTCCTCCTCCCGGCCTCTCCTCCTATCTTCCCCCCTCCTCCAACTAAGCCACAACAAGGTACAGACGCCAATCAGCTCAATCTGTTTACCTTAGGGCCCACTCACCCTGTGGTCGGAACGAACATATTCTGACCCAAATTATCCGACCTAGTGAGTCAAGTTAACAACACATCAACACATATACATATCTCAGACGATATTACAATTACATCTAATTCTAATATTTCAGATTTTATCCTCGAGGGAAGACAGTTTCCCTCTCCCTAGAAAGACAGCGAATTGTACTAGCTAAGCTGAGTAAATAATAATAACCAAATTTGTGTCAGGGTATGTCCGCTTCCAGCCTAAGAGTGACCCCTACCGACTCCTTGATGTCGGCTTACAGGAGGAATAATTAATTAAAACGCTTTCCACTGACTGCAGGGCTGTGTGTGTGTGTGTGTGTGTGTGTGTGTGTGTGTGTGTGTGTGTGTGTGTGTGTGTGCATCCTTAGTTATATTGTAGGATATGATGGGTGGATATGAGGGATGTTGTTATTATTGATGTTGCTTTCTTGGTAGCTGTATGACCAAGAATTATGCTCTGTGTGTTCTTTTGAGATTTGTGTCTCGCATCTTTGTTTTATTTTCCAATTTATTTGTCTGTCTTTCTGTCTGTCTGTCTGTCTGTCTGTATGTCTGTCTGTCTGTCTGTCTGTCTGTCATTTTACAACTTAAGAAGGGCAGTTACGAAAATATTTCTCGAGAATGGAACTGAAATTAGAAAATAGGTCAGACTGTATACCCTCGTCCATCAGAGCCTATTTTACTATTACTATCAATTGTATATGACGAAAATAGTACCTACGTACTACATTTCTCCAACTAAAGCCAGGTATCTATTCACAATTGGATCGACTCGGGATGCCTCGGGATATATGCTTTTGTCCATTAGAGCCTATTGTAGTATCAGCCTCAATTCTAAACGACGAAAATATGTACTACCTACCCCTTACAACATTTCTCCAACCAGTTGGGTCGACTCGGAGTGCCCTAGTAACCAGTGAACAGGAGAGAGTTACCCTAAATAAAATATTTTATTATTATAGGTGTCTCAGCAGATCAACTTGTTATTTCTCATCACTTAAGATGTTGTGATATATTACTAATATGTTATTGGTATGATGCTATGTGTCTCTGCAGATCAACTTGTTATCTCTCATCACTTATCATAGTGTGCTATATAACTATCATTGTTGTTATATGTGTCCCTGCAGATCAACTTGTTATTTCTCATCACTTATTTTAGTGTCCTATATAACTATCATTGTTGCTATATGTGTCTCTGCAGATCAACTTGTTATTTCTCATCAACATCATAAGAATCTTGGTCACAAAACTTCGAGCCAGTGACGCCGTGGAGACTACTCAAGTCAGGTTGGTAAAACACTGCCAGAGTGTGTTTATATACAGTACATATTACACGGTATACACGGTTTAGACTGATGGAGTGTAATGAATTAAATTTGGTTAATTAGGTGTAAATAATTATATGTAATTAATTAGGTGCGGTTAATTAGGTGTACTTAATCAGGTCTATCTAATCATGTATAGTTAATCAGATGTAATTAATCGAGTGTAACTAATCTGGTGTATTTAATCTGGTGTAGATAATGAGGTATATTTAATCGGTTGTAGATAAACAAGTGTATTTAATTTGATGTGGTTAAATAGCTGTACTAATTCGGTGTATTTAATCACGTGTTATTAATCCAGCTTCCTGTTGTATCAAAAGTGTATTACAGGAAAAACAGAAACCCCTTCTTATCAATTATTCATGTGTATTTAATTAAAGAAAACACACACACACACACACACACACACACACACACACACACACACACACACACACACACACACACACACACACAAACTACTACTACTACTACTACTACTAATATTACTTTAATTTTTTTAAATGGCCTCCAGCCTCTCCCAATAGCCACACCTTTCTCCGCCATTTTATTACCTTAAAATTAAATATCCTAATACATAAGTAGCTACCCTAGCTGTGTTGAGTTAGTTGAGCCGCAGATCTACGCAGCATTCAGTGACTGTTGCCTCAAAGACGATATCTGCGACTGTTTTCGGCTTTGGGGCCGATGCTCTCATTCCCCTGAGGCAAAGCAATGCAGACCTAAGCAGAGAGAAGGACAGTCAACATCTCAACCAGGCTGTAACATCACTTCTGGGCTGCTGCTTTCGTTCAGATAACACCTCCGCGAGTCTGGCGTAGAAGCATCTTGCACTTGGTCCCATCCTGCCAGAGGTTACGAACACCAGAGGAGTGAAGCTGCCTTGGTCAACGTTCTGAATTCTCTCCCCATATGCCCTAATCTTGTCGTTCTCGTTCCTCCTGTGTGCAGCATCGAGAGCTAGGTTGCGGTGACATGCAGCCATTAGGGTGTGACAGTTGCCCCAACTTTGTCCTACAATGCTGTTCAAAATTTTGGTGTTGCATATTGACATAAAATTACCCACGTGCAATTTTGTGAAGATTCATGCATATTTGAGTGAGCACCAGTAATTTGAAAAATAGCGATTTTGCTTATACGGCATACGCGCCTATATATGAGATTACACAACCATCATAAGTGATATTAATACAAATCATTTGCCTGTCTTAATTAAAAGCTGTAATCACTAACACAAAAAAAGTTAATCATTCTTATTCTCTCATGGTACATTAAGGGGTTATATCATATATTCACAAGGTATTATTTCTCTCGAGCAAGAAACCATAATTTCTGTTCGGAAACAGATGATCGTTTGCGATGATTAGGAACACGGAGTCTGTCATTTTCAACTACTTGAAGGACTTCTTGAAAGCGTTCCTCATCCCTGGCAACATTAAGAAAGTCATGGCAAAGTCTTACACCACTCTCTGCAGCCTCATTGACGACCTGAAGCTTGTCCACAACCCACTTCATGTTCAGGTAGTCGTCATGATCCGCCCATTCACTGGCTGGACTGTGGAGAAACTGATAGGGCATGCCTAAAATGGTGAAGAACCGGCTTGAGTCAGGCCCAATTGGGTCCACCAGGGAAGTGCCATTTTCTGGGACAGGGGGAAGATATGGCTTTCCATAGCCCCCATGATTAAGCCCCACTCTCTAAGTAACTTCAGTGCCTTCATGGCAAAGAAGGGCCTTCCTCATCTCCTCTTTTGTCCTTTCTTGTACTTGGGACGAGAACAAAGCCAGTGGAGCCAACTCCTCAGTTAGGTACCAAGTGTGTCTACCGAGTGCCACACGTGCTTTGTCAACTATTGTGGCGTCATATGGGGAAAATTCAGCCAAGGTTTCGACCAAATTCAAGCCATTCAGTGACGCACTTGCTGGAACGGGACAAACAATCCACCATGGGACATAAACAGCGACTGTGAACACAGCAAACCGTTCTAACTTGCTGATTTGACTTTTCGTCACAACCTCGGCTTTGGGAAACTGCTCTTTCATCTGGCCTGACAAAAGAACAATCTTGAGGGTAAAGAGCAGTTTAGCCATCCACCTTACTTTGTGAAGTGCGCCGGGGTAGACCATCGTGAAGTTCACTGGCTCGGATCCTTTAGTTACAAGCAGCAGACAAAGCTCTACCAGCTCCTTGTAGTCGCCACGTGTAAATTTTTGGGCTAGAGATTCACGGAAGAAGTCAGCCATCTCCTGCTGGCGCTCCTCAAACACTCCAGGCATTGCGGGGTAGTAGTATTTCTTTTTTTCATTGTACGCCAGTTGAGAGAAATGGGTCTTGAACCTAGAAATGCAATTATTGGGATTATTGTATTTTGCACTAATCTATAATATTGTTTTAGGGGTATTAAGATTGATATGATTGATCATTTGCTTGGTGTTAGTATATGTTATAAGTCTAATAAAAGAAATTCCACTAAAATTGTTCATTAGATAATAATATTCCGTGTTATTTTGTAAAGCCGACGGTGCTAGCTCAAACATGCACCGATCTCCAAAAAAATTTCCAGGGTGTTTCCTAGATAAATACACAACACTAAAACTTTGAACAGCATTGTAGGACCATTTTTTGGGGGTGTGGGAGGGCAACGGTCATACCCTAGCAGCCAAGGTATCAAAAATCCTTTTTTCAAAATAGGCTCGCTCTCCCCTCGTTCAGAATACTCGACAACTGACGTCCACACGGGCTTCGTTGGAGGTGTTTGAAGTCCTGTGGCGAAGGTTCTCACCGTTCAATGGAAGGAGGAGCGGTTCCACCATGATGTGGTGGCATATTTCCCTCAGTAAATTTGCTGTTAGATCCCTTACTTCGTCATACCTCATGCACACGAAGCCCCCTTTGTTGCACACCATGGCGTGGTCGATGTCATAAGATGAGCCGCACGCGCATTGGGAGCGCAAACCTTCTACTGACCTAACGTACATTAGAGCAATGGCATCTGTGAATTCTTGTTTATTAAGGATGAAGCCTTTTGCCCTTATCGGTAACGTTGTAAAACAGTTTGAGGCGCCCACCTCCTGCGCTATAGCTACTTTTCTTTTCACGTTCTCTGGCACTTGTTGCAACAGTTGTTGCAGTTTATCACTTTGGGTGTGCTGCCGCTCTGTCGTAATAGACCGTCGAATCTTGTTTAATTCGTTGGTATCCACCTGACTTGCTGCATTATGATCTATTATGTGCTCAGTGAGAGCTGCCGTGAGCCGCCCCACTGGATTAGAAAATCCCATTCTTCCTAGTCTCGGTGGTAGTGCAAGGAGTGACATTTCTGCTGGAGTTAAGTAACGGTTTTTCGCTAGTGTTGGGATAAAAACGACAGTGTTGGCTTCTTCCAGAGGGCGAAGGAGGGGTCCGACATCAGGGATGAGGTGACTATAGAGGCCGAAACGGGACCGGAAGTGTCGTCCACAGATGTTGCACGTGTGGAGGGCTACATCCAGTATGGGAGGGGTGAAGGCAGCGTCCTTTCTGCGTTGGCACTCGTCTGCCTCGGTAGGCAGACGGGCTAACTTGAAAGTAATGACACCTTCTCGTGTGGTGCACCTCCAAGCGATACGGTGTGGAGTAATCGTCTCCCAGGTGAGGGGGTCGATTTGGCTCTTTTTCAGGTTTGTCTTAAGACACACTTATACCTTTATAGTTGCCCGCCAGAGTTACGTATACTATTCGTTAGGTGACTGTAAAGTAGTTGCTTTGGCAATCTACTGTCATCCATGCGGGTAACATTGACAGTACAACGTAGTTGTTCATGCATAATAGTAGCCTCGATGCTCCTACAGTTGGTGTCAGCGAGAATACTAGCATTTGTTCTCCTGTCTTCCCATTAAACTCGGCGGATGGAACGTAAACTACGTTGGTAAAAGTTTTCAAGTGACTTGAGGTGCCTCCTGGATGTAACCTAAGACTCGCTGCCATATAGCAGGGTGCAGAGGACCACTGCTCGATATACGTGTAACTTTGTAGATAATTTAGGCTCCCTACAGCTGAAGACACCCGAATGGAGTCTGCCAAAGTTTCTAGATGTACATCTCATCCGATGTTGAATCTCTTCATCGATGACCGCGGTGGTGGACAGGTGGGAGCCGAGATAGTGAAAATGGGTAACATTAGAGAGGGTAGTACCATTACGCTGGATGTATGGTGGAGCTGTGGCTGAACCAAGGGCAGTCTGAAAGAAAATCTGAGTCTTATGCACATTCCCTCAAGGCCGAAGTGTGCATACGCATCTGGGTAGGTGTTCAAGGTTCTCCTGTAGGTCGCGTTCAGTTTGAGCGACAGGGATGAGGTCGGCTGAATACTTAAGTTCGGTAATGGAAGCTGCCGACATCTTTGTTCCTGCCTGAGACGTCTTATGTTGAAAAGACCTTTCACCTGGTACTGGATGTCCACCCCGCTGGCTAAATTGGCACTGTCATGAGTAAGAAAAGCAGCTAAGAAAATGGAAAAGAGAGGTGCTATCCTCGATTGAATAGGGAAGAGCTCAGACCGGGTGCCATTATGTAGGACACTGCCATTCATGCCATCATGGAGTTGCCTCACAATGGCAATGAATTTTGGTGGGCAGCAAAAACGGCTGAGGGTCCGCCAGAGGACTTCCCTGTTGACCGAGTCGAAGGCCTTAGTTAGGTCGATGAAGGCCATGCACAGGTTACGACGCTGTTCTCTGTACTTTTCTTGTATCTGGCGGACAGCAACGATCATGCCAATAGTGCCACGTGATTGTCTAAAGCCACAATGAAATAGTGGGAGGAAATAATCCGCCTCAGGAAGAAGTCGGTTTAAGAGGACACGGGCGTTAATCTTGGCCACTACAGACAGCAGTAAGATCCCTCTGTAGTTGCCTAAGTCTTACTGGTCTCTCTTGTTCTTGTAAATAATGACAATGGAGTCGTCTTTCAGAGCTTAGGGGATTTCCTCCTTTTCTCATCTATTCTCCAGGAAGGAGGTGGAGACGGCTGGTAAGCAAAGGTCCTCCTACTTTATACACCTCGGCTGGGATTCCATCAGGCCCTGAGGCTTTGTTATTTTCCATCGGTTTGATGGCAGTAGGAACTCATCCAAGGATGGAGGATAGGTGAGTGGGACAGCTCTGGATGCTGAGGGAATTGCTGGGTAGTCAGGATATCCACATCAGTGTTTAGATTGAGCAGTGAATGGTAGTGCTCTTTCCAGCGCTGAAGGAAGCCTTCTGTAGATCTGCAAGTTTTTGCGTTTCACGTGCTTTATTTTTGAACCAGTCGTTCTTCAGATTGCGAAGTTCGCGTTGGGCCCGCCGCTTTGTTCTTGTGGAAGGTATCAGCTTTGGTTCGATGCTGAAGGTTGTTCTGATAGTCGGTTAAAGCAGCACGTTTATTATTGATGAGTACATTGATTTCTGGGTCATTTCCATCGAACCAGTCCTGGTGCATTCTTTAGATCTGGCCGAGGGTCTCTCTGCAGGTTTTTGTCAGGACAGTGTCAAGAATACTCTATTCAGCACTGGGATTTCGGTTGTTTGCTGTCGGGTTGTTTATCAACCCATGATCGAGGTGCTCTCTGAAGGCATGTGCTACTTCTGGATCCTCCAGACGCTTAACGTTAAAACCTCTTCTGGAGGCTTGTTTTGGGACGACGTAAAGTATCTCTGTGGTCTGAGTGACGCATGGCACTGATGATGAGGACATCTCGCCAATCTCTTTCTCTGACAATAATTTAGTCAATGAGATGCCAGTGTTTGGATATTGGGTGTTGCCACGAACCCTTGAACTTGTCATTTTGCCTAAACAAGGTATTGGTGATAGTGAGGTTGTGTGCAGCACATTTGCTGAGGAGGAGTAGGCCGTTGGGTTTACACTAGTCTAGTACAATTCTGCCTATGATTCCCTGTCAAATGTCATCTTCTCTAAGGACAGATGTTAGCACTCTGTCAAGGTCAGTGTAAAAGGCCTCCTTGGTGTCATCTTCTGCATCCATTGTAGGGGCGTATGCACTGATGAAGAAGGCAAAACGTGAGTGATTCAGTGGGACTCAGAGCGTCATGAGGCGCCCGTTGATCCTAACAGGTATTTCTGTTAGACTATGTAGGATGCATTGGCAGATGGCAAAGCCAACTCCATAAATGCGATTTCTCTCCGCAGCAGGCTTACCCTTCCAAAAGAAGGTATAGCCAGCCCCTTGTTCTGTGAGTCCGGTAGCTGGGACTCACAATTGGCTGCTTTGTCGATGTTATACCTGGCCAGCTCTTTTGTCACAAGGGCACTTCTTTCAGGACGCTCATTTGTGTCAGTATCCAGAACGGTCCTGACATTCCATGCAGCGACTATAAGAGGTTGAATAGTTTGTTTTGTTTTGATCTGTGATTATGAGTGTGGTTTTGACGGCGCACAGATGACCTTACTGGGTGCGGTTGCTCAGTCAGGTTGGTTCTTTCGGTAGACCATGCTTTGGGTACCTTTTCTAGCCTCTCTCCGTGTGAGGTGAGCAGAGTGGGTCCTCTAAAGGGCTGCTCAGTAGCATATACAGGACCGGATTACCCTCCTGCCTAGATCCCAGTGCATAAACGACCATCCTATCTATGCCGCCCATGTGCAGAGTTATGACTAGAGACTCCCAGCAGTCATTTATGTGTGTGCCCTTTGCCACTCGTCCATCTCCATAGAACTTTTGGGGGCATAGGGGTTTTGATGATGATGGGAGGTATGACGAGCTGGATGATGACTGCACATGAGTTGATATTTGTGATGAGGCAGGATCGCAGGCTCTAACCACACATCTTGGCTCTCTCTTTTCCTGACCCAGTGGTGCAAGTGTTGAAATGACTGGGGAGAGGGAGAATTGCAATGGACTGTCTATAGCCCAGTTTTTTGCATTTCACCTTCTTAGCCTGCCCATCATGCATTGCCTTCATCCGCCAGTGTAGTCGTTGGGTTCCCATGTTGGTCACTGCTTCTGCCTATACCACCGTTGAGGTCTGCCTGCTGTTGGGCTCTGCAGATTTTTCATTCGATGTTTACCCCCGTAGCCTTATACCTACCCAGGTTAATCTGCTAGGCAGCAGGGCAATGGTTGGTAGGCGCCAGGCAGTGTCTACTGTACATATCAGTGGGCCTATGCGCCGTCCCTCTGGGGCCAATTGCTGCTCCGAAATCCCTTGCTGGTCTAGCCTGGGCCAAAGAGGCACTCAGTTACCGTGTGTTGCCGCGAGGAGGCAAAGTACTGTAGGTGTCTTGATGGTGAAGAGTCTGTGTACTGGCAGGCGAAGACTTGTGCAAGTTGCTTCACTTTTCAACACGAGGGCTAGCCAGCTGCAATAGCTGACACGCACATATGCACACACACACACACACACACACACACACACACACACACACACACACACACACACACACACACACACAAATATAAAAATAAAGAAATAAGGCTTCATAAAAGCGTATATCCTCGAGTCAAGTCTTAGAATGGAATAACAAAATGTTGCTATACGTGTTATATTATGTAAATGTAATGAAATATTGAAGGAAAGGGTTTTATAAATTGTTATTTTTTTAATAAGTATTTGGTTGACAGTTTGTGTTTGTTATGTTAATGGCGGCTGGGAATATCTTGAAAGGGCAACCTTAATTTATGCCAAGCGAAGTGGCTATAAATTTTCTTGGGCATAGCAAAGTTGATCTCTCTCTCTCTCTCTCTCTCTCTCTCTCTCTCTCTCTCTCTCTCTCTCTTTCTCTCCGTAAATTCGTGTTTTCTAACCTGTATGTTGGTGTGTTGTGGTACAGGAAGGCTATCAAGGCGACGGCTGTATTGTTCCCGCTACTCGGGATCACCAACTTATTGTTCGCCGTCAACCCTGGTGATAAAGGCGACCTGGAGGGCGCCTACATGCTGACTAACGCCCTCCTCCAGTCCTCCCAGGTGATGTACCTGTTCTAACCGCTTTCTTTTACAACATAGCTGTGACCTTCTGTTGTTGTGGATATTTTGGAAATAAGTTATAAAGTGCTCATGACATATAGGCTACAATATTTATTTTAATATATTCGTGATGAATGTGAACCGGTTGGTTAATTCCACGTTAACCAGGTTGGTACACATATATTATATTGGGCTTTAGTAACGAAACCCAATTGAAGTTTCATGTTTTATTAAAAAGTATTATGTATATAATTCCTGAGTGTAGATCAACAGTAAGTTCCACTATTTATGAGTGTGGTGAGAAAGGGACGGAGTCTATGTAAATAGAAGTGAATCAACGTCTGTTCGATATTAGTTTGTGAGTGAGACTGACTAAGGGCGTCGCATTGGTGCGCGCTTACATAGTTGCTGACATTTGGGCTTCACCCTCATAACTAGTGGAAACTTACAGGGGGTAAATTTGAATATAAATCAAATGTAAAGAACCCATTTATATAATACGTTCTGTTGATGAGACAGGGGCCATTACATCGCTCGGTCACCTACCGGCCAAGCTCCGTGAGGCCTAAATAAGCTCACAGATTACAGTACATCCTATACAACCCTCACCATGTTATAAACAAAGGTGTAGACACTAAGCTGGGGATTCTACTACTGTAGGGGTTTTATCGACTACAGGGGTCCTATACTTTAGTGTGTTACGGGTTAAAATGTTACGAACAATTTTCATCTTCGATGACACTGACTTATAATAACACAAAAGAAACATGATTGCTATCCCATTAGGCACACTCTGACTCTGTACAGTCTGTAAAGAAGTGTCTATCACATCATTATCAACTGTGGGCAATAAATTCTCATAGGTATTTTTAAGACGGTCCGCATGCACGACATCTGCAATCTGTGTGTTAGGCTTCCAAATTTTTAATTTGTTGCCTGTTTCTTTGGCAATAATGCGGAATGGACCCGAAAACTTAGCCGAAAGCTTGGAGTTCCTTTCAGGTTCTCTTACCATAACAGCATCACCTACGTCTAACACGACAGGTTTAGCATGTTTTTGTTGCTTGACCATCATTTCAGCGCGTGACGCTGCTAAATGTGATCGTACTTGGGTATGAATATCCGTAAAAACATGGATTTGTTTTGCCGCGAAATCATCCATATTATAAACAGGGTTCGGCGTATCCATAAGTATATCATAAGGTAGACGTTTATCTTTACCATATACAATGTAGTAGGGTGATTTCCCCGTAGAACTATTAATCGACCCATTAATAGACGCTGCAACCTGCGGTAACCAATCTTCCCATGTGTATTGCAAATTACACACAACCGGGCGAAGTATCTCCAGGATCTTGCAATTTTTCTCTCAACAAGGCCATTAGCTTGTGGATGATAAGCTGTCACAAAACTTTGCTTAATTCCATATTGCGCACATAATTGCGCTACTAGCTGGTTCTTGATCTCTGTTTCATTGTCAGAGAGAAGAACTTTAGGCGTAGGATATGGACAAATAAGATTCATCACAAATGCATAGGCCACTGGATCGGCTGTTTTATCTTTTAGTGGGACCAAGAACACGAATCTAGAAAAATGATCCACACACACTAAGACGTACGCTGATCCCTGATGACTCCTCGGTAGTTGTAACAAGTCAATAGCGACTGTGTCAAACGGACAGTCTGGTGCAGGATATTGTAGAATAGGGGCCGGTGATCCTATAGAACCTTTATGTTGAGCACACGCCAAATATTTAGCAATGTGAAATTCTATGTGTTTCTTCATTTTGTTCCAGAAATACTTCTTTCTCAATTCCTCCAAGCATTTGTCACGACCCTGGTGACCTGCCTGTGGAACATCATGGTCTTTTTCGACCTATGGAGTATGTTATGTCGTAATTCAAACTGACTTAAGGGAAGAATTAATTTGGGAAGTTTAACATCCTCTCCCGATTCGAGAGGAAAAATGACTGCTGACCATAATGGGTCGCGTCGTTGCTCATCCTCCAGTTGTGAAAGAGTGAAAGAGGCATCACTGGTGCTATATTTCTTGACAAAGCGTCGGCGACAATATTCGCCCTTCCCGGTAAATACCTGAACTCGGGGTCAAATTCCTGAATTGTCAGATACCATCGTGCTAATCTGCCTGATAGGTTTCTCCCATGGAACAGCTCAGTTACTGCCGCATGATCCGTAAAGACAGTTATCTTATATCCAAAGATAATGTAATTAAACTTCTTAATTGCCCACACAACGGCTAACGTTTCCAAATGCATTACCGAATAACGTGTTTCAGCATCAATAAGTTTACGACTTGCAAAGGCTATCACTCTAAACTTTCCACGCGTATCCTCTTGCATGAGTACAGCTCCGATTCCAAGTCCAGAAGCGTCAGTACAGAGAGTGAAAGGTTGAGTGTAGTCTGGGAATGCTAGAATAGGGGCATTGGTAAGCGCTATCTTCAATGCCGCAAAACTATTTTCGTGTTCAGCATCCCATATCAATATTGCATCTTTCTTTAGCAACCTTGTTAGGGGCGATGCCAATGTTGCATATTTCTTGATAAAAGAACGATAATATCCAGATAGCCCAAGAAAACTACGCACATGATCAACCGAGGTAGGATGCCGGAACTGAGATACAGCTTTCACTTTATCATCTACTGTATGTATACCCTCACCGTCAACTACATGACCAAGGAAATAGATTCTGGATTGTAAAAACTCACATTTAGAAAGTTTAATTTTAAGACCTGCTGTGGAAAGTTTTTCCAACACTTCACGCAGTTTAGTCAGATGGGTATCCACATCCTTACTGACTACTATTAGATCATCCAAATAAGCGCAGACTGTGGTACAAATCAATCCGGCAAACAGGGTGTTGATCATTCTTTGAAATGTTAGTGGGGCATTCCTGAGACCGAATGGCATCCGAAGGCACTCAAAGTGGCCCAGGGGCGTACTGAATGTAGTTACCTCTAGTGATTTCTCATCGAGTGGCATCTGCCAATAACCACTAAGCAAATCTAAGTTGCTAAATACAGTATTATCCTTACCTAAGGACTGCAATATGTCGCTCAAGACAGACATAGGGTACCTATCTGGGATCGTTTTTTCATTAACGCGCCTGAAATCAGTAACAGGGCGCCATCCACCATCCTTTTTCGGGACGAGGAATAATGGGCTATTAAAAGGAGACTTAGAATGTTTAATAACATTCTCATCCAACATATCTTGCACCATATCCTGAACTACAGTGCGCTGGCTATGAGGTAGTCTGTAGGCTGGTAAGTAGATAGGGTTTTTTCCCTCCTTTAACGCTATATGATGGGATGTTAAGTCTGTCTGACCTAGCTTTTCCCCTGGCAAGGCTACAATATGTCTGTTGTCAACAAGCAGCTCTAAAAGGCGTGTCTTGCCCTGGGGATGATCGATCACCTTAACATGTGGCGCTATTTGATCTATCCTCTCTTGCCTAGTCTGTTGGGATTGCGTAACAATACTACCAATTGGGAATTTTGTAGGCTGTAATTCGACATTGTTGTGATATACTAGAAAATCACACAAATAACATCCTTTCTTTAATATTCGTTGAACGCCTGTTCTATTCAGAACTAGTACGTCTGTCAAACCACCAGGGCGTATAATGCTTAACGTCGACTCGCACGACAACCCTTTTACCTTACACGTTTCCAGGAGACATACAACATCAGTGCCCGTGTATACGTCAGGTAATTCGACAGTTGCTTTGGTGAATTCCTCATTCTGGTAATGGAGAGTACTCTTCAAAACTGCAGGTACGATCTTCCAACTGTTGCTGCTATAATCACGCTGGGAAAGTGAGGGTGTGAGGTCTTGGGTTAGCTCTGACACATTTTCCGCCTTCCTCTGAGTGGGAATGGTGGACAACACTTTCGACTTAGCGGTGAGCAAAGGTGCAGAATGACGCATAGCGCTGTAGGAAACACTTTTAACGTAATAGTATTATTACGTGGATGGACATCTATTTTATGCGTTCTAAGGGTTGGGAGACCAAGTAACCCGTCAGCTGGCAAGTTAAACTGCTGAAGCACATAAAAGTTCGCGTAGAAGGGAGCACCACGTCTTGAGAATCTGAGTGGTAACGTCACCATTCCGTTAATGCTCAACTGCGTGCCAGATACTCCTTCGAGATCGGCGTCAGTAGGTCTCCATTTGAAATCACAATGAGGGAATTTACGTTGTAACTCCTGATAGGATGTCAAGGCCAAAACATTCGCGCAAGCACCCGTATCAATATCAAGAGCCAATCTTGTACTCTCCACTCTCACCGGCACTGACAACACTTCCACTTTACTTAGCGCCGCTACTAACGAGGCTGCTATAGAAGTGTTGTGCGAAGCAGGAAACAATGTACGTATCCTTCTGCTTGTTGTGGCGGGCGCTGGTCTTCCCCCGACTTCTTGTCTTGGGAACGATGCTGTTTATGCTTCTGCGCCACCTGGGGTACACCATTGTCTAAATTCCTGACCTTCATCACTAAAGTGCACTCTTGTGTGTTGTGAGTTGTGAACTTGTGGAGCGCACACCACATGCGTGATTTCTGGTTAGGTGGAGGCGTTGCCTTAACTGCCTCCGTGTATGACCTTGATGTCTGCTTGGCACCTGTGGTCTCTTGTAATTTAACACCATTACCTTGGAGCTGGAAACAATCGTCAATCAAATGGCCTCGTTTATTACAATGAGTACATCTTATAGAACGACGTTGCTTGAATGTCCGGTGTTGAGGCGCAATTGGAGCCAATGGTGTCGTTTGAGGTATCTGGGGTGGTGTCATTTGTGCCATCTGGGGTGGTGCCGTAGTCATGGAGGGACGCGCCATCAAAGGTCCCGTACCCGTGGGACACAGTTTGTTTGCGTAATCTACCATATCAATAGGTGGTACAAACTGAACTTCCTGTGCCCGGCCGTATATAGGACGACGAACTACTAATAGAAAACTAATTAATTCGATCAGCGTTTC